TGCCAGTTCACAGTAGGAAGACTTCCCTCTGCAAAGCAGCCTGCCAGCGTTCTGCAATCCTGGTGGAATTTCAGAAGCCAGGTATCTGCCTGATTGAGGCACAAGGATGAGACCTGGAAAATAGCCAGGGCTTCTTATGTTAAGGGCTTTCAAAACCAGCAAGGCCAACCTCCGGTCAATTCACCACTTTATAAAGAGCCAACATAGAGACTCTAGAGCAGATGTAATGTCATCCAGCTTGCTTAAACCGGCCAGCACTTGTGCTGCTGGGTTCTCCCCTTGCCTTGAGCTAGAGATTCGTTGGGCATCGTAATTAAGTGATGTGGGCCCAAGAACATCTGTTGCTATTGCAAAGTCTTCATGAGCAATTCTCACACAAAAAGAAGCAGTTTTTACAAATGGTGCAGCTGCATGAGCAGTGCAAAGGAAGGGGTGGGATGGGTGAAAGGCTTCTGTGTGGTGGAAAAACGAAATATTCTTCCCCAAAGGCCCCTAATCCTTGCTAACTTCTCCCGGTCAGTAGCATGCAAGAAAGATTGCAAGGTATTTTTCTGGGTTCACCTAAAATGACGAATTAAGTGGCTTCCTGCTCAGTAAGTGAGCATGTCAGTAGTTCATTTCATTCTGGTTTGGAATAAGTAAGCCGCATTTGCAGCATGTGTTGCTTTCCCCTACCCCCAGCACACACCCCTTTTAGCAGAGCAGATGGTAAATTCTGTGGTTGCCAGTTCTATCATAATGTGGTTGCAGAAAATAGAAAGCGAAGCAACATGAAGACCCCTGATAGAACGCAGCTGGGGTTGGGAGCCAGCTTGTGAATCTGCAGATGATATCTGTAGGGTTGGTGCGAATGTATACAGGCTGGATTCTAGAAACTGATTACCTGCTTGTGGGAATAAGATGGACGCAGACTTGGTAGCCAAAGTCTGTCTCCTTGAGCCTAGAGAGAAGATGATGTGGGCAGAAAGTCTTAACTGGTGGGCTTATCCCAGAAATGGCTATTGACCAGTGAATGGTCAGGTGTTGCTAATGACCAGTACCCGGTTAGCTGTGTTGGTGGTTTCTCCGTGATGTCAGCTGGTGGCCTTTTTCATATCCGACTAGACACAGTGCCATTTTTGTTAGATGTTCTCATTATACAAAGTCTCAGTGAGAACTCTAGCTATTTGATTTAAGTGATAATTGAATAAATCTCTAATTCCTTCCAATAGGGTTTTGAGCATGGAAAGACCCAAATGACTTTAAGTCATTAATGTGCCAACTTTTTTTTCTTAATTATTTAACTTTATTTATTATTAATTTTTAATTTGCTCTGGGGCACCAGAGAGAGATGGAGACAGAGAGAGAGAACGCGAGAAAGCAAACCACTAGGTCTGGGACTTAAACCACGTTTGGCTATCTGGGAAATCCAGTGCCTTAACCAGTATGCCACCTGCTGGCCCCTCAAGCACCAATTCTTTTTTTCTTTTTCCTGAGAGATTTTTGCTGTAGGATACATGTGCTCACTGGAGAGGGAGACGGGGAGACAAAGTGAGAAATCACCTCCCTGGGGGATGGCCACGCTGCAGTTCCTTCTCCATTCTGCTCTCAGGATTTTGGACACGCACACATTCCTGCCGTGAGCTTCAAGCTGCTGGGTCCAGGACTCAAACTGTGGGCAACCACATGGGAGTCCAGCACTTTAACCACTGCACCCACCTGCTGGCTCTGAAGCACCAATTCTTAAGACAGTTTTTCATAGGGCAGTTCATACTTTCAGAAACACTAGATTAAGAAATAGGAAATTAATTTGAAAGTAAAACACCAGGTGTATTTCATTTGGCAATCGTGACTTGGGAGTGTGTATCTATCCAGAAATTAGTTTTCTTTTTGTGCCTTACTGCACTGTGCGTTGTTGAAGGTCAGTGTGGGCAGGCCGCCAGGGGAAGTCCAAACAAACAGAAGCGAATTCTGGAAAATAGGAGGAATGTTCCTGAAATGGCTGGCCCACCGTCTCGTAGAATTAAGGGTTATACTTCCTAGTGTATACCATTTGGGTGGAGAAAAGTCTGAGAAAAGCTTATATGAGAATCCAGAACTCTGGTGTTTAGAATTTTAAACACTAAAGGATAATAGATGGAACGTTAAGTTGGAACTAGAGACTGTATTAGACAGAATTATTATTATTAGTTGTTGGAAAAGTCGTAACATTTTTCTATGCAAAAATGTGTCATGACTTCTGATGACCTGATATTAATTTTTGAGGATGGATTGTCACAAGGAAAGCTTAGTGAAAGAATATGACTTCTCCTTTAGGGAATGGGCTTTGGTTCAGCTGGGCAGTCTGGGGAGCAGGGGTCCTAAGGCAGGATTCACACCCAGCTTTGCTAATAGCCCTGTCTTGCTTCATGTATCTTTTTTTTTTTTTTTTTTGCTATAAGGTATGTGCACTTGCCGGAGAGACAGAAAACAAGAAATCACTCCAAGGCGGGCTGGCCATGCCCTTCTCCTCCATTCTCCTCTTTGGATGTTGGTGCCAAATGCACACAAGTCTGTTGCATTTTAAGCTGCCACATCTGGGACTTGAACCATGGTCAACAACGTGGGAGTCCAGCAATGTAATCATTACACCATCTTCTGGTCCCTGCTTCATGTATTCATGTACCTTGCCAGAGTGGATTTATCCATAAGAACAGAGATGGGTGGGGGTTTTTTGTCATTGTTATTGTTGTTGTTTTTTTTCTACAAGTTTCAGTAGTTTTATAGAGACTAAAAGGAAAAAATGAATTGTTTGCTTCTTTTTTTTTTATTTAAAAAATATTTAAAAAGCGGAGCCAGCAGGTGGCATGGTAGTTAAGGTGCTGGACACTCCCACATGGCTGACCATGGTTCAAGTCTCAGACCTAGTGACTCACTTTCTCACTTTCCCTCTCTCTTTCTCTTTGTCTTTCTCTGATCAAAATAAATGAATTATTAAATAAAATTAAAAACAAAATAATTCTTAAAAAATATTTAAAAAGCATAAAAGAGGCTATCTGTATAGATATCCACTATATAGAATAAACTATTAGTTTTTTGAAATTCAGAAACAAAAAGCAATGCAGTTGATAAAATGGATGAGCCTCTGTGTCACTCATCCCTCTTCTATTCCCTTCCCAGTCTCTAGAGACTACTGTGATCAATTTTATATATATACTTCCATTCCATGTCTCTGTATTTTTATATATGCTACCTGTATCATGAAATATATGTATATAATATAAATATATAAAATGTTTTTGTGTGCTTAAGATATCCCTCAATATATATTCTACAACTCCTTTTACTTTACCATGGCTTTCGAGATTTGTGTTGATACATACAGGTTTAGTTTCACTTTACCATGGCTTTCGAGATTTGTGTTGATTCATAGAGGTTTAGTTGATTTAATTTCTCCACCCTATAGTGTATTATCTGAATAAACCATGATTTATTATTATTATAAATGCCAAACATTTTTGTCAGATCATGCTGTATATTACTAGAGATTCTCTAGATTGGTACATGTAAACATACGTCTCATAGGAGATGGAACTTTTCAGCTTGAAACTTTATTTCCAAAGTGATTTATTTTTTCCTGAGAGATTTTTGCTGCAGGCTGCATGCTCTCAACAGAGAGACAAAGAGACAGAAAGTGAGAAATCACCCCTCCCGGGGGAATGGCCACACCACAGTCCCTTCTCCATTCTCCTCTCGGGAATTTGGGCATGCATACAGACACCTCCAGCGTGAGTTTCAAACCACTGGGTCTAGGACTCACACTGTGGTTGACCATGTGGGAGTCCAGTGCCTTAACCACTATGCCACCTGCAGACCCTCCCAGAGTGGTTTTACACCTGTTTACTTGTTCTCTAGCAAGCAGTAGGTGAGAGTTTCCAGCTCCTGGTATCAGACTTTTTCAGTTTTTGCTAATCCGACAAAAGAGAGTATCTCATTGTTTCCATTTTTTAAATTAACAGGCATTTAAATTTTTCAGCCGTCGAAATTTGACACTAAAAACATTTAAAGAGATGAAATCCCATTATATTTTTGTGTCAGGTTAGGAGTCAAATATAATTTAAAGTTGCATTTCATTCATATGGTACTCAGGGAATAAATTAATCCCAAGAAACTAATAATATTTTTCAGTTGCCAGAGGGCACATATGCTTGCCAGGGAAAAGTAGAGAGAGGGGGGGAGAGAGAGAGAGAGAGAGCGAGCGAGCGAGCGAGCGAGCTAGCTAGCAACTGGCATAGTGGTTGGGGTGCTAGACTCCCATGTGTTTGACCACAGTTCCAATGCTGGACCTGGTGGCTTAAGAATGATGCAAGATGTGTGTGTGTGCCTGGCCAAAATCTGAGGAGGGAAATGGAGAAGGGATTGCAACATGGCCATCTCCTGGGGGAGTAAGGAAGTGGCATGATTTCTCACTTTCCCTCTCTCTGTCTCTTTCCAGTGACTGTGTATACCTTATGACAAAAACCTTAAAAAAATCAAGTTTATGAAATGATACATGTTTACTTGGGCATATTTTGTCTTCTCACCTTTTATTTGCTACCTCCCCCTGTTCAGAACCCTGAGGATTGCTTTTCTGTGAGTGAGAGAATACGTGGGGTGCAGGGCAGCATGTTGCCTTCATTCCGTTTGAACCAGTGTTCTGGATAGGTGAGACTTGAGAATCTGCCCTAAGGATGAGTGGGGCATTTTCTGATTAGTTTACTTAAAAAGAGGCACAAGCATTCTGTTGAATGAATATGTCAGAACTCAAGGATATTAAATCGGTCTGTCACCAAGAGGATGATGTGATCACTCATTATCTTAGAAGGTCCTGTAACATTGCCAGATACAAATGATACAAATACCGTGTGACCGTTGATGCTTCTAAAGGGCTTTTTATTTAGTTTTTAGAAAATCGTTATTGTTTGTAAGTTTCTGTTTACTTGCCTTCCAAAATTTGAAATTTATCATACAACTTTAACATTTTCTTTCTTTTCTCATTTCAGTGTGATAAGATTAGGCAAGAACGAGATGAAGCTGTTAAGAAACTGGAGGAATTTCAGAAAAGTATGTAAGCCTTTGAGTGTGATTGTTAGAACGCCTGTAATTGTCCGGGGATCAGGTCGGTAGACATGTGCCCTGTTCAGTTGCCATCTAGGTCGTGCAATCAAGAAAGCAAGAATTGTCTTCCCGTTTGCCCTGACTCTGTTATGATGTTAAAGAAATGGAGTAAACGTTATTGTTTGATGAGGGTGTTGTTATGAAAGTTAGTACTTGTAAAAAAATTTTGTTATGCATGAAAATGAAAGAACAAGAATTACCTGCTATCTTGATTTCTTGAGAAAAACCAGCATTAATTTTTTTTATATCTATTCTTCTTGGTCTTTTATTTGTGTAATATACGTATCTACAAAAAATAGGGGTGAGGGGTCAGTGAGTATTGTGGTTAAGGTGCTAGATGCACACATAGCCAACCACGGTTCTAGTCCCAGGCCTGGTATCTTGAAATTTATGCCAGGCACATGTGCGTGCGTGTGTGCCCGAAATCCCAGGAGGAGAATGGAGAAGGGATTGCGGCATGACCTTTTTCCTATAGAGTGACTTCTCACTTTCCCTCTCACTGTCTCTAAATCTCTGTTAGCAAGCGCACGTGCTCTATGGCAAAAATCTAAAATAAACCAACAAAAATGCATATTTTGAATTCAGTTTTGCAGCCTGCTGTCTTCAGTAAGCAGTATATTGTGGCTTTTTAAAAAACAATATTTAATTATTTTATGTTCTTATTTTTTAAGTTTGCTATAGGGCACATGCACTTATCAAAGCGAGAGAGAGGAGTTTGGGGGGAAGTGAGAAAGCAAGCCACCAGGTCTGGGACTCAAACCAGAGTCAGCCATATGGGAGTCCAGTGCCTTAATCACCACACCACCTGCTGGCCCTTGTCTGTTCATCTTTGCAGGTTGGTGGAGGTGTACTCAGTTTCATTTGTTGCCCATAATATTCCACTATGCGATAGTACTATAATTGGTTTAAATCATTCTTAACTGATAGATTATTTCTGGTCTTTAGCTATTGGAAGTAATGTCATGGCAAGTTTTTTGTTTTTATTCTTTTTATTTTGTTATAAGGTGTTTGTGCTCTTCAGAGAGAGACGGGGGAAGGGGAGCAGCGAGGAAGCGCCCCACTGGGGGAGAACCACACCACAATCCCTTCCGCTTTATTCTCCTCTTGGGATTTGGGCATGCACACACACACACCCAGCATATTTTTCAAGTCACAGGATCTAAGACTTGAACCACTCATTCAGCCATGTGAGATCCAGCTGCCTTAACTATCATATCACTGGCTGACTCTGGCAAGTTTTCTTATACATACATGTTTCATAGTGAGCTGATAGTTCCGTAGGCCAGTTCATAAAGAAGATGTTATACTGGAGAGGTACACAGCATTGTACCTATAGCTAACAGTGCTGCATTGTAGAAAGTTTACTGAGGGTGACCCAGCCTAGTGGTGCAGTCAGTAGCAGATGGAATTGCAGAGCTGGAAGCCACGTGGCTGTCTGTGGTTTGGGTCCCTGGAAAGGCCTGAAAACATGCATGCCCAAGATCCTCAGGAGCTGGGGGGCTGGGGAAAGGGGAGAGTGGAGAGGCAAGATCCTATTTCGGATGCTTCTGTTTCTTTCTCTTTCTTTTTATTTCTAGTGTTTGCATATGCTATCTATCACGAATAAAATAAATAAAAACTTTTTTTTTTGAGAGGTTTTTGCTATAGGGCGCGTGCGCTTGCCAGACAGACAGAGAGAGACAGAGAGACAGAAAGCGAGAAATCACCCCCCAGGGGGGATGGCCACACTGCAATCCCTTCTCCGTTCTCTTCTCGGGATCTTGGGCATGCATGCACACGCGCCCAGCGTGAGTTTTAAGCCACCAGGTCTGGGACATGAACTGCGGTCGGCTACATGGGAGTCCAGCGACATAGCCATTACACCAACTGCTGGTCCCAATAAATAAAAACTTTTAAAAAATACTGAAGGTAGATATATTAAATTTCTGTCTTTAAATTAATTTATTTCTTCCATGAGCAAGACAGAGATAGCCACCCCCGATAGAGTATCATGCTGTGATCCACCCACAGCCTCAGCTAGTCAAGATCATGGTGTGTGTGTGTGTGTGTGTGTGTGTGTGTGTATATGTGTCAGGCTTGTACAGGTGTCTGGCTTGTACAGGGAGACTTTGGGACATGGACAAGAGACCCTCCCACGTGTCCTCAGCATGAGGGTATTTCCTTACAGCTGTGCCATTGTGGCTTACCCACCATGCAAAATAAATAAACGAGGAGAAAGAAACTGGAAGGTGCTGCATATGCCTGTGGTCTTGATGGCGGTGGTTTCAAACTCATCATATGTAGCTTTTTACATATCGTTGGATTATCAAAATAAGTCTTGGTGTATTTTTCTATGCAAAGATGTGTCGTGACTTTTCCAGCTACCCAGTACTTTTACTTCAACAAAGTACTTGGAAAGAAAGAAAAGGTAGGGGCTGGCAGGTGGCATGGTGGTTAACTGTGCTGGACCCCCCCCCACCCCCGCGGTGGCCGACCATGTTCAAGTCCCGGACCTGGGGGCTTGCTTTCTAACTTTCTCTCTCTCTCACTCTCTCTTACTCTCTGATCAAATTAAAATCAGTAATTGAATAAATAAATTTAAATAAGATAATTTTTTAAAAAGAGAGAAAAGGAATTGTAAGTTCACAGAACGTAGACACATTTTTTCCATTTATGTATGAATTTGTTTGTCAGTTTCAAGCTGCCTGGTCTGGCACTCAAACCACGGTCGGTCATGTGGGAATCCAGCACCTTACTCACCATACCACCAGCTGACCCCAAACTTAGACACTGTTAAAAGTGTGAATGTTTGAAAGAATTCTCTCACCCTGAAAAGCATAATACTACAAAGGCTATAGTCATCTTCTAAATTTTGGCCATGTTACTATTCCTTTTTATTGGCTAGAAGATGCATATGTTTCAGAGTGAGTGAGAGGAAGAAAGTGAGAAACCCGTATGGGGGACGATCACATTGGAACTCCTTCTCCTTCATTTTTCTCTCCTTTCAGCACTTTGGACAGGAAGGCCCATGTGCCTGGCATGTTTTCAGGCTGCTGGTTCAGGACCCAGACAGTGCCGATCCCATCTGAGATCCAGCCACCTTAACCGCCATGCCACTGGCTGGCACCAAGCTGGTGACTGCCCTTCCTTTCATCTCAGAACTCAAGCTTAAATAGTTTCTTATCTTCCAGTTGTTCTTCACATTAACATGCCATTTCTCATTTTGTTCCTTTACTCTGCGCATTTATTGAGAAGTTACTATGTACAGGCAGCCCTGTCTGAAATGTTGAGATTCATGTGAGCGTGTCAGATAAGGTCCCTTGCTGGGGACAGTGACTATAAACAAGTGAGCAAATGAGAAGACCTTTCCAGATAATAAGTGGTTTTTTTTTTTTTTTTTTTTTTTTTTTT